CCATTTTAATCCATACATTGAATCTACATAACATATGTCTTTAATTCATGGGCTCTGATAAGCTATAGTATCATTGAATGGATTATTTCCCTTTATCCATAATTGGCAGTTATAAGACCATTCACTGAAAAAACTCTCATGCCCCATCTTCCCAACATATAAGCAAGATTAGAGTCTCTGGCAAACAGAATTCTGTCATATATCAGACACTGCTCAATATAAATACTTGTATTGATACTTCATACAGCACAGAACATCCCTCTCCTCTTAAAAATAAATGTCTAGGTTTATATTATGGGTTTATTAAGGGATTAGGCATGGTGGAGTCCTCTTGCTTTCAATTATGTTCATTTGCATCTGGAGTTACCTTGGTTTTAAGAGGAAGCAACTGGGGGTCAGATTTGCTCTGAGGATTGTTCATTCTTACATGGCATATGAAAAACAGTTTGTCAGAGTTGTTTGAGGATGGAGAGGGCTTTTCTCCAATACAAGTTCAGGTTCAGGTTCAGGCTTGGCCAGACTTTTTTGAGAGTTTCAGGCTTGACAGTTCCAAAAGAATGCCTTCACTTCAACAGCAAACCAAATCAAAAAGATTATAAACAAAAGTCAGTTTAGCCTTTTGTTCCATACACCCTTTCAAACTCAGCTAAATCAGGAACATATCAGAGTGTATTTTTATTTCTTGACAATTCTTGCTAAATGAGAGAGAAATGAGGTTGGACCAAAGACCTTAAGTACACTGGAAATGTTTTTAAAGATCTGTCATCACTGCTCATGCTATACTGGTGTTAGTAATACTGGGGATACAATGTAGGCAGACCACTACTCTGTACCAAAAAACTCTGTTCAGAACAAGTCTAATTAACAAAGTGCTTGAAGCAAGGACCAGCTCTGGTCCATCCTCCATGCTATCTCTTCTGTAATCTGTACTAATACTTTAGAACAGGGTGATCCATGGCATCTGGCTCACAGGGCTTCCCACAAGTTGAGAAATGTGGTGGTGGGACAGCAGTGGCAATTAACACAGCTACCTCTCCTCTGCTGCCATACTTCCAAACCCCAAGTGGTCAGATTGGGCCCAGCCCAGGCCATGCAGCAACATCAGGGCTGAACTGCTGCTTTCTGCTCCCTACTCAATCTGATGCTCTGTTTTCTGCTCTGTCACTGTTCTGCTCCTTCTCTCACTGATCTGCTGCCTGCCATGCACAGACTGCTGTTCTGAACAGGAGGCAAATTTGATTCCTGTAGGTTATCACTTTGAGACCTGAAACTCAACCTGTTCCACCAAACCCAAAAATATACATTAACTTTGAATAATCTAGAGGGAATTTCCACAAATGGTGGATGTAGACACATTTAAACATATATCTTAACTAGTTCAATATATATTTTAAAAGTTTTTAATAATCTAATTGCTTGTTGTGTTGGACAATCTAAAAGATATCTTATATTGGTCTTTATTTTATTACAAGCTTTCTTGAATTCAGCAGAAGCAAAATTGTGTGACCTTCAAAATAAGCTTGAAGAAACCTCCACTGACAAGTTTGTATTCCTTTCTTCAAGCTATCATTATTCCTGTCTTATATATGTAGTGTAAAAAAAAGCTGATACATGCCTAAACCACACAAAACCCTTACAGCTGATGATCTCCTTGTGAATTAGAACCAATAATTGGTATGGACCTACTGAACTAATGGCGAGAACATTTTCAAGGTTTTGTCCTGGCACAAAGAGCCCATTTTGCAAGCATTTCACAGTGGCCCTGCCCTTTGGCACTAATTGGAGGAGGGGCGAGGGTGTCGCTGCCATCTTGACTGCTGGCTGCCCTTCATCTGGCCCCACCTCTCAACACTAATTGGTAGAGAGGCCCTGGGAGGGGAGGAGGGAGTAGGGGCAGCCACCATCTCGCCCCCTTCGTGCCGTCCCTCCAGTCAGCGCCTTCCCCTCATGGGTGGGCTGTAAGACCTACCTGGGAAGGGAATACTTAATAAAAGCTTGTTTTATTACATTTTCCCCCCCCACAGATTTCATGAGCAACCCTGGATTTCATGGTTTCCGTGAAATCTGCGAAACTGGGATTTAGGTAGGTCCCTAATAATTAAGCCTTTCAATATTGCTTGTAACTTGGATTGCTTTCCCCATACCCCATTGCTTCCCTCATTCTAAGGATAGGTAAACTGAGAAGAAAGAGCATAAAGACTTTCTGAAAGTAAAAAAAAAAAAAAAGATGAGGCAGAGCTGGGATCAGAACTAAAGAGCCCTCCTTTGGCCATCATGTCCTCTAACCCTTGTACACACTTCCTCGCCCTCATTAAAATATTGCTGTTTTGCTTACATAAAAGTAGACTTGCACTACATTTTCATCTCTATCTTCCTTTTACAGAGAATTTAATTCAGTGGTAACCACATAAACCCATGCAATAACAATATGCATCCCAATGTTAAGACAACAGCATATGACCCAGTAAAACTCCCCCAGATCTAATGAAAAAAATGAAATTCTGAGCAGTTAAATGGAAAATAATATTAAGTGTGTAAGATAAGTTGCACAGTATGGTTCTAGTGCTGCCCACATTCCTGGGTGTAGAAATAAGATACTATTTGAATCTGTGTTCCCAAACATCACTAACAGAAAAGTGGAAAAAAATGGTGCAGTTGACAAGCCAAAAATATAAATAAATTAATGAAAGAATTACAACGGAAAAAAACCCCTGTTAATAACCTTGCACTGGTACAAAAGTAATAAAATATTTCTTCTTTCCAGTACAATGCTTGTGAGCGCACACAGAACTGCTCAACTTGTACACCTTTCAAGTTGTCTCATTAAATGCAGCTGCAATACAGCTGACCCATTGTTTTTTGGCCATTCTTGGCTGGTGATGCCATGAAAATCACATTCCTGGGCACTAAATAATTTGCCTCCATGACCCCCCAAGAACCTGTAAGTCAAATTCATTTACCCCCAAAGGGCAACACTCTATTGTATCCTCCCTCTTTTCTAGCCACCTACGAACAATGGACAATAATTGCAACTGTCACGGCAGTCAGTAGGAAAAATAAACCCATGCCTGTTTTCACAGCTTACTGCCAAACCTGATCTAAACACCTAATAACCATGCCCCCAACCATAGAACCAAAGCTCCACTAAAATGCATCAGACATGAGGCTTTTGTATAGAGCCATCGAACAAGAACTCAACTTGTGGTCAAAATATGAAGCTAAAAAACAAAAATTAAAGCAAAGAAAATACTTCTTTGAGGTTCTGCTGTTGTTCCGCAGCCTCCCCCCAGACGAGACTGAAAGGGCCGTTGAATTTCTTTCCTGTTAGCTTATAGTTGCTGCTGCTTTCAAGTTTAACTTGTGAAGGGGAAAGAGAGGAGGGGAGGGGGAAAAAAAAGATTGCCCTCCAACAGAACAAGATCACAGGGATTTGGAACAGACTGCCTTCTCAATACAGAGCACACTTCAGAGTAGCTTTATTTTGTCCAAAGAGAATGAAGGATCTTTGGGAGTATTTGTGTAAGACTCTAAGCATTTCAAGGGTTAAAGAAGTTCTGTGCAGCCTAAACTTGAAATGAAAGCTCTCCATGCTCCAGAGACTAAAATGCCTTACAGATATATTAGTTCACAACAGATCACAGTGTTATTTAAAAATCATGTAAGTTTTTTGTTCTTATGAATAGCAATCACAAATAAGTTCACTACTAGCACTGGACTCCTCCGGCCTATTGACTTGCAGCCATAGGGAAGTGGGCTCAGGGACAGGAGGGTTTTCTGCACAAAAACTGGAATAAGAGACCTAAAGGTTTGGCCAACCATTAATACAATAATGGGAATAAATATCATGCTTCACACCTCACGCTGAAGCACAGTCCACTTTTTTGCAAAGTGAATGAGCAGTAAATACATATATGAATGTCACTCCCAGAGTAGAGAAGCTGGGTGAGCCCGTGGAATACTCTGCTACTTGTGTATGTCAGTGGACTAGAGCTGGCTGGTGTTGGTGGCTTATTTGTGAGAAAAAGAGAGAGAATGAGAGAGTGAGCGAGACAGAACAAGAGAGAAAGACAGACAGACAGACCAAAGCCAAACCAAAAAGCTTGCACTTCTGTAAACTGGAAGAGAATTAGACTCAATGTTTTCTTTCAGGGGCATATCAACCTCTCTACTTTAGAAACTTCAGCTTGTTTGACATATATTTATTTTGAGTTTGGTCTCCAGAAGTGTCCAGGAAGAATCAGGAAAATACTGTATTACAGAAAGCAAACAACTGTAGGTTGCCTAAAATGACCTCACATCTATAAAATGGGGAAATGTCTTGGCAAAGTAGAGGCTACTGCTCCTGGAGAATGGTCAAATTCTGTCATTTTCCTTCTGGAGCTGGGCTTTAAAGGAACATGCTTTAATGCACAGACGTTGTACGCTGTCTTTTAAAATCTGCACTAATTAATTTCAGTACCTAGAGGTAACATTACACAAACTTTACCCTTTCATCTACACACAGAATTGTCAGTCTGTACCAAAACCAGTAAGCAGCACATTTGATCTCCCTCAGACTCCACATAAGTCCTGTTATGGATGGATGCTAAACAAGGTTATACTTCATATGTGAATTGTACAAAATCTCTCTTGACTTTTATTTAAATCTTACACAGAACTACTCTTACATTGATAAACACAGAATTCAAAATGTAACAAAAGTCTTACAAACTTGGAGGTGATTTATTTATTTAAGGTAATATATCGTGCTTTATTTAAAACCACACAGGGAGAATGTATGCTTCATTTATCTCCCAAGTGATAATGTTCCTGAGAAATAAGAAAAAAATTGAAAGAAAAACAAAATGTGCAAGTTGTTTTGCTAATTATATATATATATATATATATACACACACACACACACACACACACACACACACACACACACACACACACACACACACACACACACACACATACATATTTCATTGTTCTTCACTTTAACACAGAGACAATGTTACCTTTTATTTCTCCAAAGTTCCCTGATCCCATGGCAAGAAGCTTGTCTTTCCAGTCCTTTGATAGTAGCTTTTCAATACTGGGAGTTTCTGAGTGAAGGAGGGGGAAAAAAATGTAAGCAAATCAACATGACTGTCTCCACAATAGAACTCATTAAAAGTCTATCTGCTAAAAATAAGGCCAACCCTAGTCTGGGCCCCAGTTCATAATGACTTCATCAACAAACTGATAAGAGGGGAGGGAAAAAAAAGAATGTGTTTTGTCACCTGCTGTTTCAAAATCATTAGCTTTTTCCTCCTATGGAACAAAGCCATAGTAATTCTGTATGACAATGGGCACATATAAACCTGCAGTTCATTGTTTTTCAATTTGGTGAACAAGTTCCTACTTATAATGGATGCTTGTCAATTCCAGGGTGTTAGTCTGCAGTCAAAAAATAATTATGTTGATAAAATCCAGCGTAAAAAAATAGTGAAGGGGGGGAAGGGGGGGGAGCCAAAGAATTAGCTCCTAAATCTGCTACATGTAATTATAGCCCTCTGAGTGTTTACAATTACATCCACTTTATAATGTGTGTTTAAACATTGTGTGGTGGTAAGCACACGATGGAAAGATTTTCCAGTAACACGCACATTGTAAATAATAATAATTTTTAAAAGTTGGGTATAAAAAAAGCTTTAAAAGATTGCAAAATCCAGAGACGGGGGGAAAAAAAGTGTGCCTAGAATGGAAACCCATTATTTGCTCATTTCAGATTTCTATCAGTTCTTTTTTTTCTTTCTTTTTTAGTAAAATATATTTGTTCAGTATTTTCAGGGAAAAATACACTGAGGGTGTGGATGGGTCTGATATTTATGTCTGTAACTCTTGTATTCTGACCTCCCTTTTGTATAGAATTTTAATGCATAAGTAAATATAAATGCTAATAAAATTCAGAGAACATTAAACTCAATTCCAAACAATGTAATTGTATATTCTTGTCAGCATTTAGATGGGTACACAATTACAATAGCTTTCAATCCCACGATTAGCACTGCATTCAGTTAGAAAATGGAGTGTACTAAAAGATAAGTGTCCCAGTATGCTCCATCTAAATAACAATACCCAGACTTATTATCTGGATCTAAGACATATACTGCTATTCTCCACATTTGTGTTTATGTGTATTTGTATTTGTTTACCCCCTACTAGGCGCATAAAGAGAGTACATGTTAACTTATCAAAGGGACCGTCTGGCCTAGAGACCATACCATTATTAGCAACTGGTTAATTTTCCCCACAGTAAAAAGCATTATGAGGAGCCTTCATTATCTTGTTTGACTAATTCTGTCAACTTTCTTGAACCCCCAACTTGAAGCTTTCAAGAATCAGTTTCATAAAATCTTCTTGCAGTTTTTAATACAACTGTAACATAGTTTGCCCTCTCCCTTCTACACTGCCAACAATATACAAAGAATATGTGGACTAGGACCAAGTGAACAACCCCACTTCTTTGTTAAATTGACTAACACACAAAAAGACACCCAGACCCCATAAAACATGGACAAAAGATGTAACTACACATCTCTGACTGCTTTACCATTCCATCCAGGAAGAGCACAGACCATCTGCAGAAACTTCCTTAGCCTGATGAAGGGTATTTGTGCCTGAAAGCTTGCTAAGAAGAATTTTTCCAACTATTTGAGTTGATTTAATAAAAAGATACCAGATTTACCCTAAGAACCTTGTCTGCCTGTGTCCTTAGACCAACATGGCTACAATCTACACCCCTGTAACATATATACAAATACTCTCTCACAGTGCATGCAACTCCATCCCCCATGCTGCTGAGTAGTTTCTCCCCCCTTAGAAGCAGTTGCCACCTTGACGAATGAAGCCTACTACAAGACCGATCTTTTCCATACACACACTTCACCACATTCTGTCTCTAGTTTTATTTTTGTGCAGCAGAAGAGACTATGTCAATGATGACTTTCAGGGTGGGTGCACAATGACAGAAGTACTCAGCATGTTTCAAAGGAAAGGTGACTTCAACAATGCATT